CTGTTTTCCTCCCTGTAAGTGTACTGGCTGTGGCACAACAACACATCCCTCACTGCTGATGGGTTACACTCTTCCACTGTGCTGCCTCAGACCTGGTGATGTATCGCAACCTCACCGGGTGCAGAAGGTGGAGTGGAGCCATGTGGAGTCACTGACAGGCATCAGTGGAGTGCAAATTGGGTGCACTGCACTGCAGCTCTCACTTCCATCAGAGGGGAGAATTTTTCCTTTTTTTTTCTCCAGCAACATCGATGTGCCAGTAGTTCTACCAGCACCACTACATACTCACAAACACATTTGGGCAGCTCACCCTGCAACCATGGTAACAGAAGAATTTTACTAGTTGGCAGCAACCAATAGTGGGACAATTTTCACTTGCCATTATCCAATAAGAATGCAGCCTGCAGCCCAGCCCACCTACAACTAACAAGGATGGGCTATAGAGCAGGGAGGATTTAGAGACACGCTTGGCTAATGAAGAAGTACCAGAGTAACAGTGTGTAGCTGTGCAGCGTGTGTGTGTGTCAGTGTGCGTGAAGTCAAGTTGATCTGATCACAGAGGGCTCCCTCTCTTTCAGAACATTGCAGAGTGTTACACTCATTCACTGAGACCCTCTGACATTCAGTAGCCACAGCGCAGCCAAAGCCCTCTGTCATCTCACTCCCACACACTTGACACACTCACTTACTCACTCGCACACATGTGATGCCCCGCTGGCTCTTATCGTGGATTTACTTGTAGGCTTGGTCATGTGACAAAGCAGTTTTCAGTTCTTAGTTTAGAACTAGGGGCATCACTAGTAATCTGCCCAGATCTGAATCTTCAACATTGACATTAGTTCTGTTCCATTCAATCATTGCTAATCTATGTCTTATAGTTCTGCCTTAAAAAGAGAGTGCAAGGTTTTACTAATACTTTCTGAATATGACATTGTAAATAACGCACTATTAATGTTTATTGCTGCAGTGACATTGGCCCTAACTATATCTTTTTTTCTGTTTTTACAGTGTTTTAGATGATTTTGTGCTGTAGTAAACAGATCCAGTAGAAGGTTGTTCTATCCGTGGATGTAGAGATGTTTTTAAAACACAAAGAGAGGCACTTTTCCTCTCTTTGTGTTTTAAAAACACAGAGGAAAAGTGTGGAGGAAGGGTCAGAATCAGCTCACGTTAAACAAGCTATTGTTTTAATGCTGGGTTCTCATATCAAAATGGATATTATGTTGCAAGGTGGAATACAAAAAAAATGCATACAGATCAGCAGGCATAGTGTAAGTACTATTTACCAAGGTCAACTGGGTACAACTGTGATTAATCAACATCTCCTAACTGTCTGTGAACTACTAAACGTAGTTTTGATTTTACTGAAACAGGAATGTTGTGCATGCACACTAAGGTCAGGGAATATGACCTTAGGGTGCACTAGTGTCCACTAAGGTAGGGGGTGCTGTGCTGTGAAGCACCCTACAGGGGAGGTAGAGATGGATAGTTGGGGTAGTGGTGCCTTGGTGGTTAAGGAAGCGGACTTGGGTCCAGAAGGTTTAAGGTTCGACTCCACCAGCTGCCAAGTTACCACTGAGGTGCTCTGAGCAAGGCACCGTCCCCACACACTGCTCCCCCGGGCGCTTAAAGCTGGCCACTGTTCACTGTTGGTAATGGATTAAAAGCAGAGGTTGCATTTGGTTGTGTACAGTGTCACAATAATAATTCACTTTAGATGGAGCTATGAGCTCTGTCCTCAATAACACTCTTACCTGCAACTAGTATAACAACAAGGATTATGGACTTCTTTTTACCACTAGGTGCGGTGGGACTTACACACTAGTGAATATCAAACGTGCCGCCATCAGCTGTCAATAAAGTCATTTATTATTTCACACAATGGATAACATGAACAACTTCAACTGTAGATCTTCTTAATAAATGCTCAATGCTGCCAACCAACAGAAAGGTAGCAACAGAATGAGCTTTTCTTTCAGAGGGAAAAAATAATAATAATATTAAAAAACAAACTAAAAATGAACCTACAAGATCATGGCAGATAAACATGACCAAAAGCATGCCAGCGGACATGGATATACATATATTGCATGTATATATGTACTTAAGACATATATCTGTAATTGTAAATACAAAATATGTGTACATTGACACATACATACCGTGAAAGATATATGCATATGCATGCACATCTAGTATTTACTCTATATGTCAAATATTTGCAGTTTATTTAGTATTCATACAATGTACAAAAATGCTTCATGAATTAAAAAATCCATTACAAAAAGAAACATATCAAACAATGTACAAGTCTTGCTCCAAATTGAAATTCCAATTTTCACCTTGTCTAAAATATTTATGCATACAGTCAAGTTGAACATGCAGATTAAGGAAACCCACTCTAGAAAAAGGTTCCAATACACTATGTATACAAACTAAAATATGCCCACACTGTTAGAAGAGCTCACTTTATGCTCTGTGAAAGTACATTTATTGGTTTTCTCAATGCAATGTTTCATATGCATTTGAACAACATTATAGCTTAGAAGTGTAAAATACGCTGCTAGGATAACTGCATGTACATTTATGAGACCGTCTTACACACACACACTGCCCCTCACATCATTTGTAGGACACTCATCACAGAATGCTACAAAGGATCTGAGGAAGGTGATCGAACCTTAGGTACCATAACATCTCATCCTTGGTGCTGTGGGAACTGGTCTGGTTTAGGGCCACAGTGTATAATTGTTTTCCATCTCTCCCTGTTCTCTGCATCTTCTACTCTGACTCCAACTATCTGCATGTGCTCCCTCACTGCATCCATATATCTCCTCTTTGGCCTTCCTCTTTTTCTCCTACCTGGTAGCTCCATCTCTAACATTCTTCTACCAATATATCCACTGTCCCTCCTCTGCACATGTCCAAACCATCTCAATCTGGCTTCTCTAGCTTTTTCTCCAAACCTTCCTGTCTGTGTTGTCCCTCTAATGACCTCATTCCTGATCCTGTCCATCCTTGTCACTCCTAAAGAGAACCTTAGCATCTTTAACTCTGCTACCTCCAGCTCCGCCTCCTGTCTTCTGCCCATTGCTACCGTTTCTAAACCATACATCATGGCTGGTCTCACAACTGTCCTGTAAACCTTTCCCTTCACCTTAGCTGACACTCTTCTATCACAGATCACTCCTGACACTTTTCTCCAGCTGTTCCATCCTGCCTGTACTTTATTCTTCACCTCTCTTCCACATTCTCCGCTGCACTGAACACCTCTGCTCCTTATAACCTCACTATTTCACTGTTCTCCCTTTCGTTTACACACATGTACTCTGTCTTGCTGCGGCTGACCTTCATTTCTCTTCTTTCTAGCGCAAACGTCCACCTCTCTAAGTTCTCTTCTAGCTGCTGCCTACTCTCACTACAGATCACAATGTCATCTGCAAACAACAAAGTCCCAGCATTGATGAGCCCCAACTGGTAATCTATGCAGGATGGACATTCTAACACTATTTACAACAAACACATGAATACTGTCGTTTTACATCTGGTTAAGGCTGTACTGCATAGAAACTGCAGTAACTATGTCATATCTATTTGTTTCCTTTTCCTGCTGTATTGGGTAATCTGTGTGATCACATTCACCTGTTTGTAATTAGCCTCACTTGTGTCACCTGGTACTCCCTGTGTATGTATACCTCTCTCCCTCACTCTGCCCTTGTTGGATCATTGTGTTGGATCATTGTAATTGAGTCAGTGTGTAAGTTAGTGACTGTTTTTGTGAGCGCTATCTTTGTGAGCGCTGTATTCTTCGTGCCAGCGTTGTGTCGAGCTTTTTGTTGTAGCTGTCTAGTTTGTTCCTGAGCAAGTCTGTTGCTGTGCTCAACTCTCTTCGTGTTTTCAGCTCTGCTCGACTTTGTGTATGCTTCAGTCCTGGTTTTTGGAATTTAGAACCTTCAAATAAACTACCTGCACCAGTACTGCATTTGGGTCCTGCCTGCTTCCTGCTATGTCAATGCCCGCACACTATAGTTAAGTGACAGAGGATGCTGACTATGGAAGCTGTGAAAAGAACACGGGGATGTCCCAATCATGAAGGTTCCTTCAAATTTTTCATCTATGAATTGCCCAAAAATATGAATGTTTTACACTAGCTGCTGTAAACAAAATACGTAATCTAACTAAATGGAGTCTAGAAGTCTGTAAGTTTCAACAAATAGCAAACAAAAATAAAATAATAATGCTAATGAGTCCTGAAGACATCTTAAAGAGCTAAACATCAAAGGTTCTGCTGTCTACCTACTGACAGTAACTCTGCCAGGGATTGGCATATAATATACAGGCTGTGTCTGAAATCACTCTCATTCCATACTTGTTACTCCCTATAGAGGGAATTATATACAGCACACTATATAGTGGACTCATTGGTTAAATGAAAAAGGGTTTTGGTGTACAGATAAATACGCAATTAGTGTCAAACAATTCAAACGGATGGATGGATTCTGCTCCTCTCTCCGCAATGTCACGGCTGTAGTCCTTAATGGGATATATTGCCGTGCTGTATTTTGGTATTCATTGAGTGACATATATAGTGGACAACTTCATCCACTACACATTTGGACATCACTACAAAATGGCGTGTCCTCTATGTAATGCACTATGGAGAATGTAGAGAGCAGTTTCGGACACAGGCTATATAACAGTCTCAAATCGCTCACAGCTAAGGTTTGGGGATTGTTTGTTTTTTTCCTTTTGCCTCTAATTATGCCCAAAATATGATAACAAGTGCTATGCAATATAACCTGGTCCATTAGGAGACACCAAATTAGACACAGTTGTGTACGAGGGGGCAGCAGAATTTTTTTAACTGCAGTGTGGTACAATATTAGAAACACAACTCTTGGAGGGGCCTAGCTTGACTTTGAGCAGAAAGAGAGCAAAGTAGTGTGGTGTCTCATAAAAACAGGCACAACAAACCTTACTAATTTGAGCAGTACAGCAACTTAGAAACAAGTAGCACTGGTAGAACCAGATTTATTTGTAAAAAGTGAGAGAAACATAAGGCACAAGTTGAACTGCTGTAACTGAGAATCTGAACCCACTTAAAGAAACTATTGAGCAGAGTTGCCAAAGAAAAAAAAAGCTGATCCATTGCTTATGTTCCAAAATACTTGTTTGAGGAAATAGAGACCAAAGCCACATATACTGGAGACAGACTTCAACAAATGCTTAACAGATTAACAGATGAATTCAAAGACAGCTACACGTAGGAATTATTTTTGTAGATTCCAATGTAGATTTTGAATCTTTCAATTGAGACATCTGTACACTTAATACTGTGACGGTTTCTACACCGTAATACTAGTTTTGTCCTGAAAATGTTTCCAGGCACATGTTAAATCTATGTTACAGGAACGGACTGGGATCAGCTAAAAAAACAAAACAAAAAAAGAACTGACTGAGAGCCCACTTCAGCTGAATGGTTCAATTAAAATTCAGACTGGGATTTGGGTTTGACGCTTTTGGCTGCGCAGCCTGCATATACAAATTGATTATAATGATGCATGCTCACTGGAATGGATATCCACACCATCAAAGGCCAAAACATAAGGCTGGAATATGTAAGCATGTAAGTGCTGCATTTGATTGATGATTGAAGTGTTACGTTTTTTTTTTGTTTTTTTTTTATAGTGCATTAAAACCAATTTTAAGGCTTACCAAAAATACATCTGATATTTTTTCTCTATGCAATGCCCCCTGGATATAAAAAAATAATGACTTTACCAATGAATGAATGAATGAATGAATACATGTGGTTCTTTCTGTCTGAAAACAACCTTGTCTTGAGTCACACCCACCTCTCTTTTTGGTAATAAAATAATACACAACTTTCATTGTCTATGGTACAACAATTCTACTTTCACATACTGTATGTACATGTCTATGAGCTGCTTCTTCAATGTACAGGCAGGCAACAGTGGAACTTGTTTCTTATGTACAGTCTGAGACAGTCTCATCCACTGTATTGCCTTTTTGTCAAGCCTGAGCAGGCAGGGGTAAAAAACACAAGACCACAGGGTATTTTGAAGGAACACAAGCAATGGGAGATGTAAAACATGATTGGTAGAAGATGAGGAGACAAAGGAAAATGGAGGTAAGGAGCGAGAGCCAAGGAGGGCTAAAGAGTTATGGTGAAAGTCAAGCAGGTACAAGGATCAGGGGAGTTGGGAGCTGCCAGGAAGTATGAGAACGGGGTAGGAAAAAAAAAAACGAGGGCAAGTAATTAGGTAAGGTGGCTTGAATACTGCTGTATTATTCCACGTCTTTGACAGGGTTCCCCAGAAAGGCAATAAATAAACAGAGCTGCACAATTTTATATCAATCATTTCCCACCCTCTTGCTGGTAAATATGTGGCTAGAGCCACATTGTAGATACAGTATGATAAAGTACCATACACATCACTGTATCAGATACGTAAAGAGTCACATATTACCCTACACTATTAGATGTATCACGCACTTTTATCAAATAGTACCGTATAGTGCCATTTAGGTCAAAGTCTACTGAACCCTAGAAAGGCTCATCCTCTGGTGGGGAAAGCCAACAGACTAATGCCCCTTTAAGTATTCCCTCCTTCTGCTTCAGCTCCAACTGAGCCACTGCAGTCCTTCCAACAAATCAGAGAGAAGAAAGTCCAAAGTGCTCAGATGTGTCACAATTAAGGGCCCTGCATCTGGTAAGCCTGGACCAGCACTGGTTTTGTTCACAGCACCACTGCTCTCTTGCGATTACTGACTGAAGGGGGCCCATAACACGTCCCTGCTGTGGCCCCTGCCTCTGCGTCCTTTGGCCAGTGGAGTCACTGACCGTGCTTGATGCACCACTTTCTCAATGGTTGCCGTGATAGAACCGTGATTGGAGAACTTCAGAGGCTCGGGAGTCAGGTTCGGCCTGAGGTTCTGCCTCCCTGACAGGTCATCACACCTCTCCAGCACAGGCATCCCCAGAGTCCTTCCATCGCCTCTCTTACTGGCCAGCATGTCCAAACTCACGCCTTCAACGTGAGCCTCCTCCCTCCTGTTGGTTGGCTCTGACTTCTCTAGGGGTTGTTTCCGGGGCCGTCCAGGTCGTCTCTTGATGACGTTATTTCCCGTTTTTGCTTGTCGCTGGAGTCGCTTGGCGCGCAGGATCTTCTGCACATGCTCGAAGTTCAGCAAATGCATCCTCCTGACATCCTTCTGAATCTGTTCCACCTCCCGACGTTTGAACCTCCGTTGGTTTGGTTCACCTAGGGGATAAGAGTGCACAAGTGTAAGTATGGCTGGACATTGCGAGGTAAAAAGGAGCAGTCAATAAACAGAAAGGAGTTTTCGTGAAAGATTAGGAGCCTTGGAAAATCTAAAAGTCATCATGCCAATTAGGCTGATGCAGATACCCTTTTTTTTTGCTTCAAGAGCTTCCTGCTAATTTTGACATATTCATGTAAGCCTCTCAAAGCCCAGCTGAGCCAGAAGAACAGATCCTGTCCTGTAATCGTCTATGAGAAAGCAGAGGGGAGAGGAGGAGATCCCATTCTCCTAGCAGGAAATCCACAAAAATATCTCCTTTAACCATTTAATATGGTGTCACACAATAACAACCCTGTGCATCTGGAGCCCAGGCTGCCAAAATGCCAAACACGCATGCATATATTCACATGCACATTGCACAACATCCACAAATAATGGATTTGGCACAGCAACTGAGTGCAAGAAACTAGAGCCACATTTTTTCATTCACAGTGGTTAACTGGGCCCTTTGCCTGCTGTTCCGTTCTTTTTATTTCACCTCTTTCTCCTCACACGCCTTCTCTCTCCCCCCTCTCTCCTCTTCATGGGTGGGAGAATGCTGCTCTCTAATTGTCAATTAAACTAGTATTACTACACAATCTTTTTCCTTCTCAGAACTTTCTTCCTGGTCTTGGGTCGTCTCTGTCATTAATTTTATTTCCCGTCTCTGTCCCATTTCTAAGCCCTGCAGCCCCCTCCTCTCTGCCTGGGCACCTTTCCCAGAGCTAAGATTCAGCCACTGGAGGAAAAGCACAATGAATCCTAGGCGGTGTGCATACGACATGCTTGGTCTCTTTTTTCCAGCTTTAACTCTTATTTCACGTCAATGGGAGTGTTAAAGCACAACAGCTCTGAGTTTTAGTTACCTGACACATGTACTGAGTTATGGGTAATGTATCTAAATTGATGCACACATTTTAAATCCAAAAATAACAGAATCAGCCTTAAGTATGCCATTTCTATACACTTGATTCATAATTTTACTCCAGTAACTCTTCAGAGTCCCCTCCTTGAACCGCAACCTTAACGGGTTTGAGTATCCGAATGAACCTAGGAGCTATGTTGTCGGGGGCTTAATGCCCCTGGTAGGGTCTTCCAAGGCAAACAGGTCTTATGCGACGGTGGTGGTTCAACCCCCCCCCCCCCGCAACCACCCCGCGCACAGATCATATAACAACACAACGACAAGATAGAAC